TTTTCGCTTTTTTTAGTTGTAGTTTTCCTTTTTTTGTGTCGCACCTTTTTCCAAAAGCATGAGTCGAGCCCACCCAAACCTCGAATCCAAACCACCAAATAAGGGTGACCTGGATTTAAACAACTCAGGTCAAAGGTACCCCCAAGATCATACCTCCACCAAGCAAAGGGCTTCTTAGATGATTGAGCCCTAACTAAGTGCAGCCTGAATAATACGACTCCGTACCAGTGTTCTTTGATGCCACAAAGAAACAACTGTTTTATCTACGTCGTGACCACCTTTACCAACAATAGGGGAAACCGAAGCAGTACCTCAAGCAAATGAAACGCCACTATTTCAAGCCCGACATAAATTAGAGTAAAGACCCTGAAACCCGAAGACAACACCAACTTATAGGTCTGTCCCACCCCTTCAAGGGAAGATCGCAGGAAGGCAGATTGGCAACAAGGGGTACCGTCTGGAAAATGACGAGCCGCCCATATATTGCTTCGGAAGCACCGGGGATGGGCGAGTTCGGGGCCTTCGTGGTCCTTGGCTCCTAGTCACTAGTCATGTTCATGCTCCAATTGCCTTCAACAGGAGCTACTACTGTGGATGGTCCTGGACGAGAAATCCTGCACTTTGAAACCATGGGTTTGTTGGTATTCACGTTGGGGAATCGACTCCTTCTCGGGCTTCTGAACGGTGATGCCTGAGAGCGAATTTCGATTTCAACCATCCGTACAGTCTTGGTATCACAGATGTCACGGAAAGGGCCACCGCTGCCCAAGCTTCTCAAGGTGTGAAGTCAACCCCTGGATGTGGCTGTAAACGGAACCAAAAAGACGACCTGCGGTTGGCCCTAGCACACCCTCCTCAACCGACACCATAAAGGAGACCCTACCCAAGTTTTCAAGGTATAACATCAACCCCTGACACCCCAAAAGGAGGTTGGTCCATGAAAACAGTCCTGGCTCTGAGCCATGAGACCCTTCTCGCAGCTCGCCTCTGGCTCGGGCGCTGCCCGCCGAAGCGTGGAGAGTTGCCTGAAAAGCACATGCACGCGGATGCGACGGATGGGCTGAACACCTCACTTGCTGAGTGGATGGCCCAAAAAAAGTTCAAACTCTATATTTACCACCAAAATGGTCTTCCCAAAAAGCTTAAAGTCCATGAACTCAGGAAGTGAGACACTTACCTGGACCCTCAAGATTCCACATGCAAAATGGGTGATTGTGCCAAACATATGCTGGACCCACAAAATTCCAACCAACAAATTGGTGATTGCGCTAAAATTATAGGGTGAGTTCCCTGTTTGAGGGGTAGTGTTAGGGTCCCGGTTCTAGCTTGCTCCTCCAATCCTGACTCAAGAAGGGGTAGGTTTCAATACATCCTGGACCTTCAAACGTACCTGAAATTTCTGCCTCCCCTGTCAATCGGCTGGTTTTTGCAATTCGTACCTTGTTTTCTTGGCTTGTCCTCTTTTTTGGACCTCAAGCAGTTTTTGGAGGCATGCGGGCTGTCATGTCTTAACATGACCTACTCGAGCAGAAATGGTGTGCAAAAACGCCCGCAACGGCCCGCAAAACGAGCGCAAAAACCCGCAAACGAGCGCAAATTTGAAAAAGTGCTCGTTTGAATATATAACCTCGGGCACTGTTTCATTGCTCGGGCAGAAATTGAAGACTCGCGCACAAACTGTGTGTTTGAGCAGAAAAAAAGCGAGCACAAAAAAAGGTATCAATGGAAGGTCCAGGATCCCGCCTCATGCAAATGATTTAGGCCCAAGGAGTAATCTCGGTGGTTTCCTGCTCCCCTGCTAAAAGTTTAACTTTTAGTGGTTTGATGGAAAACCCACTAGTTGGCAAAAAAGTTAAAGTCCTAACATCCGTTGGCAAAATGCACCAAAGTCATGAAATGTCTTTGGTGCATCCATTCTGCGCCACGGAACCCAAGAAGACAAGACTAAAGCACGGTTGTGATGGGCAACTTCTGCAAAGGAACCTTAACTTGACGTTGCCACCCCGCAAGTAACGTCGTTCTTTGCATTCTTGCCCAGAGGTTGAGATAAATCAAAGGGCTGTTTCCAAACAGCTCAAGGCCCCAAGGGCCATACAACCACTACTTGGGTGCTTGGGCAAGGTTATAACCCATCTATCTGCCCCTTAACCTTGTTTTCAGCGGGGTTATACCCCAAATGGCTAACGACTTACTAACTTGGACGAAAGTCCAGGTATTGCTTACATTACAACTGTGGGGTCAACAATTGTTATTTTTGTTGTTCGTGCTGCGTTCATACAATCCGGATCAAGGGGTTGCCTCTAGGGAAGTGAGATCTATATCTGGGTCAAGCGGATCCGACCCTGCAAATAGTGTTGGTTGAAGAATTGAAGGAAGCCAAAGCGAGAAACAACTCAAAAGCTGAGCCGTATGTGGGGACTTATTTCTGGGTGACAACCTAGGTTATCAACAACATACTCTTTTGGCAAAGCACCCAAGTACCCCTTGGTTGTGGTGTTTAAAGGGAAACCAACGAAGAAAAAAAAACACCCCCACCCCCCCGGCGGGCCGCGGGCAATTACAAACACAAACACAAGCACAACCACAACCACGAACACACACACACACACAAAAATAAAGTAAAACACGAAAAGGAACAGGAACACAAACAGAAACACTGACTTATGTGTGGACCGACCCGAACCTGAACAGTTTTGAGTGGTAAAAGAGAAGAAACGCGCCGCGCTCGCCTCGGCTGCAGGAAGCTCCGGAAGAAAGTGAGCTTTAGCGCCTCGAGTGATGTGCTTATTTTTTGGGAGGCCTGGGTTATCAAGGTTGTTTTCAGGTATGGGCTTTGGATCTGGGTTGACATTCAACCTAAACAAGTGGGTGTGTGGAGCCAAACACATGACCAGTTCTTATCCTCGACCCAAAAATCGCGCTCGCTCCCTAACTCACCTCACTTCTCTCTCACCTCAGCTCCACATGAGCTAAGGCCAGTGCCAAAGCAAGAAGCGCAAAAGCCTCAGGGGCAAATGCCAGGAGTCGCGCGGCCTCCCTCCCTCCTCCCTCCCTCTCGGTGTCCTTTGAAAAGAGATCCAAAAACAGGTCTATGTGCCCCAGTTGAGGCGAAAGGTGCCTTTTCTGGTTGGTTTATAGAAAGGGGAAACCAAGAAGACAACCACCATTTTGGGTGTCCAAATCCCCGACGTGACATATCCCCTGTAAAGGGGAAACCAAAGGCGGACCCCGCGCCTTCCAGCGCGAAGCCATGGCTCAAGGGATTCAATGCATCGACATGTCCGCGCGAAAACTTCTGAAGGGGAGCCGCGAAAAGTCTGAACTTTGCGTTTGCCATTAAAATGGTCCAAACATAAAATGGCTTCAAGCCCGAGAACGAAGCTTAACGACCAAATTGTCCAACCTCAACAACTTTTATAAGTCCAAGAAGGACGTTTACACTAAAACGGTAACCAAAAAAGAAACAAGTCCGCAACAAAGGTTCACACCCAACAAGTTTTAAGTTAACGATCTGAGGAAGTGAGTCCTTGTTACCTTTTGTCCTCTGCCAGACAAACTGCCCTCTTTCACGGTCCCAGGCCACTGGAGATCAAACATCTAACTGACTGGGGTGGAGGATTCCAGTTGACGAATCTGGCAGCTCCTTGCTACCTCGGGGCTGGGCCAACGCCAAGATGAAACTCTTGCAACAAGTTGTAGTTTAAGATCCTGGCTTCATTGATCCCAAAGTCGTCTCGGGTGAAGCCTGACCTAAGTAATCTTCTTACCTCCGCTTCGGTTTCTTGTCGCTTCTTTCAAGTGGACCGACTGTCCGGCCCTGCGAGCAACGCTTGAGCCACCGAAGGCTCCAAAAGCCAATGCCCAAAGGGTCTCGGTTGGCTCAGTTTGGGTGTGTTTTGAGGCTACCCTTTTAAAGAAGCGCTCCAAAAAGCAACCACAGGGAAACCACACATTTGTTCGGGGCCCCCTACTACACACACACACACATACAACACCAAAAGGAGGACCCCGGGCTCCCAATAAAATGGAAGGCCTGTAGAGACCAACACCAAAAGTGGGGTGTCCGAAAATACGCGAAGCTTCTACGGGTGTGTTCGATTCGCAAAGTCAGTAAGTGGTTGGTGACCGCTCGGTTCTAACCCACTTAGAAGTCCCCGCGAATGTGGGGTTCGCCTTGTTATGAGGCCTCTGGGGAGTGGACAACTCCAGTAACTCGCAGCTTTCCAATTTGCCAAGTGTTGTGTTCCAATTCGAATTCGGCATTTGCCGTGTACGCCACTCCCATTTCCTCACGCTTTGTTGAAAGTGCGCAATGCCAAGCTATCTAAGGGGTGCACACTGAGCGTGCTAGCGGCTCTGTTGACCACGAACAGAGGGAATCTTGGTTGACGTTGGAGGGGGAGCAACAAAAATAAATTTTAGCAGGTAAGTGGCTGGAATTCAACCACTACAACCACAACGAGCAAAAATGGGGAAAATGTTTCCCAACAACAACCAGGTAGAGGGCTTCCCAAAGACCAACCCTCCACATTTTATGTGGGAGATTCCCAAAAGTAGCACAGAAGTGGTTGGAGAAACTTCGAGTGATCCCACAACCATGGAATACTGAACAATGCGCGTCTCCGTTTCTCGTACCCAATGCAGATCGGTCTGTCCTCAGTTCTGCAAACAGCTAGATGTGTGGGCAAAACGGAAAAACGAAGCCACTAATCCAACTATCTTGAGTCTCCCTAAGGACCCTTTAAAAATGGTGGGTCATGACCCCATTATTTTGGATAATGACCAACCATGTTTAAGGGGTCAGAAGGAGACTCCAGGTAAAAACCACAAAGCCAAAGTACACGAACCCGCCAAAAGGACAACTACCTGGACCCTCGACATGTCCCTTAAAAAATGGGTGCCCCAACATTTCTGGGAAGATTTCCTTTTTTGGGTAGTTTGAGGGTGCAGTTACCTCCTTTGCACAAAAAATCCACATGACCCAGTCGCTCGCATCGGTCCCTCGTGGGCGTAGGAGGCTGAAGAGTATTGGCCTGGGAGACATCAACAACTCACGGGTTGCTCAGACTCAATTGAGCCAGAATCAAAACCCGGCATTAAAATGGTTAAGAACTCAGCAGGCGGCCGCAGCTATTTCTGGTTGGGAGTATCCCTTTGCAACCACCAAGAAAGGGTTGCCATTCAACAAAAAGACAGACACCCATACTACGGATGGACGAAATCCTCCACCTAGGAAACCCTGGAATCATTTGTGGCTTCAAACATGGATTCCAAGCTGTGCGGTGACAGATTTTAAAACCATCCACAGTATGGACGTAGACATTCAGCATGTGAGCCACAATCAAAACCCTTAAAACAACAAATGTGAACCCCTGGCGTGAATCTTCAACATGGCCATGGGCTCCTATATATTCTGGAATGACAGAAGCCATTCATAGAGTGTTCATGTGCCGGTGTCCTTAGCTGGCCTTGAGAGGGCCTATGGAGCCGTAGCTGGCCTTTCAAGAGTTTCCAAGGCAATTGGCGCCCCCTGTGCCTGCTTGTTGCACGCCTTGTTTTGCTCATCCTAGGCAAGAAATCTACGACACTCCGCATCGCCTAGGGGGATGTAGAAACACAAGAAAACGGAAGCTCGATTGAATGCTTCTGAGACGGGTAGTGGAAGCCATGTGAAGAAAAACGGAAAGAGTGGCGACTGGATCCAGTTGATGTCCATGAGAGAATAGGAATGCAATTTGTTTGGTAGTTGACTTTAAAAGGGGTTTGCCCCAGGAAAAAACTGGTTGAAGCAATTTTGCCCAGGGCGGTGGAAATGACCACTTCGGTCCCAAAGACCAACCCCCATAAAAGGTGAGATTCCCTTGTAACGCAGAAGTGGATACACCCCTTGATCCCACAGATGTTGCCCTCTTTCAAAACCTCGGATGCCCAGTGGCAATAGGAAAAGAAGGACATACTTTGTTGGGTGGTTGACTTTAAAGGGAAACCCTTCCCCCCTCCCCCCCCCAAAAAAGGGCAACCCACTGGGCAACTGGGAAACAGGCTCACAACACGAAATTGCAACCCACTGGGCGTCTGTCTAAGGGTTTTTGTATTACACCCTGGACACCCACTGGGTATTGACCCCATTTAAGCATATTTCCGGGGAGAAAACCGTGCTATTTTGAACCATTCTGGATCATTTCCCAAGGGTGTAGTCCCAGGGCGTAATACAGAAACCCTCAGAACCCGCAACCCAGTGGCTTCCATTTGCTTAAGCCCCCGAAAAGAAGAAGAAAAAAGTGATAGATTCCCTTTAAAACCAACAAGGGCAAATTAAAAATATTCTTAAGCAATTGGAAGCTGGGTGTCTGGAATTATTTGCTTCCGCCTTACGCCGGGCCATCCAGCCTCCCCCAGCAGCATGGCGGAGGCCAAAGCGACATGGCCGCCGCCCATGGCCTGAAGCAAACATCCAAGGGCTGAGTGTATGCATGGGTTGCTTTCTGCTCCCCTGCTAAAAGTTTAACTTTTAGTGGTTTAATGGAAAACCCATTAGTTGGCAACATGTTAAAGTCCTAACATCCAAGCAAAATGCACCAAAGATACGTCCATGTATGAACCCGAATTCACCGTTGGTTGTGGCTTAAATATGGAAAATCAGCCCCCAAACAGTCCAACATGGCCCTTGGTTCATATATGGACCTATACAATCAGCCTTTGATACAAGCCATATCAAAATCATTACTTGGGCGTGTCGTTTCTTCAAAGTGCCCTTTTTAGTGCCCTTAAAAGAAACCACTTCTTGTATTCCAGGGGGCGAATCAGCAAATTGAAGCACGCATTCCCCTGGTGAGTGTGAGGTCCTCCCTTTCCATCGAAGATCTCTTGGGATCTTCGCGCGGTGCGATCCCACGGGAAGAGATCGGATGTTCACTGGGGGTACGATTCGGATTTTGACCCATGGCCACATGGCCTAACTTGGGACCCAATTTGGATGACAATCCTGAGCTGTAAACAATGGTGGGTATATGGCTGTGGTGGTCAAAACCGTTTTGGGATCCCACTTTGGTAGGTAGGTGAATTCACCACCCATTTTAGAAGCTATTTTGGTGGTTGGATTGAATCGGATGTTCACTGGGGGTACGGGGTTTTGACCCATGGCCAAATGAGTGTCTTTTTTTTTGGCCCCCAGGTGTCCTTTTCTAGGTCCCCCACTAGTGCAAGCTTTTACCCACTTTTTTTGGGGAGGGTTCCCCTACTAAAATAGACTACAGAAAAAAGGGTACCCTTATTCTAGCCTCTCTACTAGTTTTGATACTGTGGCACTGTGGATGGACGAAATCCTGCACCACTTTTGAGCCATACAAACCATTGATTGTGGGTATTTCCAGCGGAATGATCGTTCCAGGGTTTCGTAGGTGGTGCGAGAAGCGGATTTCGCAACCATCCACAGTTCCCTTTAAAACCAGCAAGGGAACATAAAACCAATTCTTCACTAAAAATGAAAGAGTGAGTCTTCCTTATCACGACTATGGCCTGGAGGGTCCGAAGGATCCAGGGCCATAGGTAAGAAGGCCTTTGATTTCTTTAGATGGTATGTACGGGTCCCTCAGTAACTCAGTTGCTCAGTGACCCTGGAAAAAAAAAATGGAACCCTTTTTGGGAAAGACCGAATGTTTAGTGGGGGCAGCCACCCAAAATAGAAGGGAAGAAGGGTGCCACTGAACAACAGGGTTAAATGGGGGGGGAGGTTTTGCTGGAAGAAAGGATTCCCCACGAAAAAGGGGACCCCCCACGAATCAGAGGTCCGCCTTAGCTGTACTTCCCAGCAGGGTTCCCTATGAAAGCAACCTTCAACATTTTAGGGGACACTTCCCCATTCTTTCCAGGGATCCTTCTTTCCGGAAACCATCAGAACCCCAGGGGAAACAGCTGGTTTTGAAAAGAACGATGGTTGAAAAGAATGGGGAATCAGCCCCTAGAAACATGGGTGACATCGCAAAGCCCCCGTAGTGAGGTCGCTATAATTTGCCGAGAGTGTTCTGCGCCATCATCAACTCCATTTATCCAGTCTTCCCTTTTAAACGGGAAAGTGAAACCACAAATGGAATTCCGGGGGTCGCACCCCTCCCCCAATTTCCTTTTTTCAAGGTTGGGATTCCTCATGCTTCTTTGGGAAACTATCAGGATTCCCCAAGGAGGTAGGAGACAGCCCCCAATTTCCAGGGGCAATTTTAGTGACTAATAAGGTCGACTAGCCCTGACAATCACTGGATTCATGTTGCGTCAGCCGAAAAAGAAGTATACAAACATATCGGACGCCGAACATGAGCTTGGGAGGTTAATTTGTGGGGGATCTCTGACAATTATTACAGGTTACCCAAAGGATTCAGTTACCCCTTCACCCCAATCCTTACAGTACGTATGTATGTATGTATGTATGTATGTATGTATGTATGTATGTATGTATGTATGTATGTATGTATGTATGTATGTATGTATGTATGTATGTATGTATGTATATATAATATGTATATATATATAGACTCTCTCTATATATATATGTATATATATATATTATATTATATAGAGTAGGTCACCCTTTGTGTTACCTCGAGTTGTTACATTTCAGCTCCCCTGGTTGCCTATGTCGCTGGTGCATGGCAACCTCGCATTTGCTCAGTTGCGATTCTTTGTTTTTGTGGTGAAACAGTCGACAAACTCCGGCTCATCTGCGAGCCGTCCTGAAAACAAGCCAGCTATGTCTGGGTCGGTGACGGGCACATGGCCCTTGTTCACACCGGTTCCCTGGCTTCCCTGGATTCCAACCCACTTTGTAAGTGGTATTTACACCCTTTTGGGGAGCATCAGAACGTGAAAGGGGTACGTACAAGCGCCACTGGATAAGAATATGGCAGTATGCCCCCTGTGTTTAAAGGGAACCGATTTCATTACTGGACCTTTGAACTTTTTGCCCAGGCGACTTAAGCAACTGGAAGGGTGCCTGACCGCCCGCCTGGGCAGCGACTGCCTGCCGGGCCGAAATGTCTTTCAAAGGGTTTGGTTACAGGAAGATCTACAGGACAAGACATGGCCCCTAAACACCGTACCCTCCCACCAGCTAACATGGAATTGCACAGACCCTCCTAGAGAAACTACTTTCCTCTTGGAAAGGGGCTTTGGACAACTTCCATGTTAGTTGGTGGGAGGGGTAAATCAGCGGTTCTCCTGTATGTCCTGTAACCCAAGCCTTTGAGTCTTCCGTTGCTTGGCCAAAAGAAGTCAGAACTTGTTCTGTATCCAAACCTACAAAGGTAAGTCCATGAACTCAGCGAGTGAGCCATGAGCCCACACGCGATACCCATTTTTTGACGTGGGTATGATTTCTCAACCCACAAAAGAAGGTATTTACCATGAATATTATTGTTCTTCAGCAAAAACATGAAACTGGTGGGTATTTGGAGTTGGGCGGGTAGAGTTCGCGCAGAAATATGGAGATTCAAAACGACAGTTGCCAATTGGAAGTCCATGTAACTGATTGCCACCCACAGAGGATCCGCTGGCCCCCATTCATGGGCACATTACTCAATATGACATGCTTCCTATCCGGGCCAAATTTAGACCTCCCAACAATTGCAACAAGTCAAAACAAGAAAACGCTTCAGTTTGGGAAAGCTAGCAAGTTGTTGGCACCTAGGTCATAACCTCTAATTCGTCCCCCGAAGTGGAGTCAATCCTGCTGTTAGTGGGTCGCAACCCAGGTGGCTTACCACTTACTACCTGGGTGCTCGGCCAACTTAGCAAGTGGTTGGTTATAACCTACTTACAACCGGACCAACTCACTCATAAGTAGGTTATAACCTTGGCAACTAACCAGCTAACTCGACCGAGCACCCAAGCAACAGGGCGAATGGAACATCCAAGCATCCAAAAAGGCTTCCCCAGCGCCTCTTGTGGCTTAATCCTATGGAGCCTTGGATTCAGCGAACTGCATCAAACCATTTGGACAAGCAACACAGATGGGCGTCTTCTAGGGCAGTACCCAAACTGGCGCCAACCCAAAGTGGGTACACCGCCCAAAAATAGCAACAATCAATATATATATATATATATATGAGAACACCGATAACATAACAATAACTCACCCAGGTAAGAAACAACCAACAAAACAACAAGAACTTGACAAGAACAACAAAACAAAACTTCAAATACACAAACACACACGCACACCATGAAACCAGCAAACCCCTTTCAACAAAAGATAATGAAGGGACACCGCACCCCTAACCCAATGGCTCTTGGTTCTACCAACATGGGCGCAATGATTTACAAGCCAGTCACCATAATTTTATCTTAAACCAGGGTAGGAACTGAACCACCTCTGTTGCCCAAAGGACCCAGAAATAAATGGTGATCACCTTTTGAAGCCATGACTAAACATGGAACCCAAAATGGGGAAACAGGGTCAAAAGGTTGGCTTACAACGGGTCAAGTAATCAGAAACCAGGGGGTTGCGAATCTTTAAAATACTAGCCTCATTATGAAAAAGGGTGCAAATAGACCGGTTTCCCTAGATTTCGCCTCAAAACACACACACACACAAACAAACATCACCCGGAAGGGAACTCGCTTCAAAAGCCAAACAAATATTTTGTCAAAAGAAATCCCAATGTCGACCAGAGAAAGGTACATGATTTATTACAAAAAGGGGACCCTGCCATCACTGAAAATCAACCAGGCGTTCTGCTTACTTGTTTCGGGGACCCCCCCCCAAAAAAAAGAGGTGGTTGTCCTTTTTTGGGTTTCCCTTTCATAGCTACAAGCAGGGGGCACCCAGGTCACCTGTGACACCCCCAACCCGCCTCCAACCGCTCGGACAAACTGCTGAAGGCGCTGGACCGACTCAAGCGCTCCGCGGCCACCTGTTGGTGGAAAATTTCTGCTGGTGAAAACCATCCATCCATCCCCACGGCTCATTTAAGGAGACAGTGTGAAAATTGGATGATCCGGATGTTCTTCACTCCGGGGCTTGCTGAAGGTGTGTTGCTCTATGCCATACCCTCAAATTGATGGCTTTCTTGTTGGCTCTCTGGAAAAACCGACCAACAAATGGGGTACCAACTCCAAATAGAGACAGACCCATTGAAAAACCCGCCAGGTCCTCCAGTAGAGGTTAGAGGTTAGGGTACCAACTTGTTTGTCAGGACGTCTATTTTAGTAGGGGAACCCTCCCAACCAAGAAAGGGGTTGAAAAGGGCACTGCTGGGGGATCTAGTTTTGGTTGGTTTTAAAAGGGAAGCCAAGACATGGATTTAGATGGTTGAGATGGGCTGTCCTCACATCCTGTGCTAAAAGGCCGGAAATATTTTAGCGGGTGAAATGGGCGCCCAACACACTAAAACCACTAAAAAAAAAACTAAGAACCTCAGTTGAACCGGACGATTCGCTGGTTGTTGTCGCCATTGTATCTGGGTGTGAACTGACTTTATCTCACCCGGCCTTGATGAGCTGGAACCCAGCCTTTTGGTTGGTTCCTTAAAGTAAACCGAGAGGAAAACCCAATTTTGAGGGGTCCCCCCCCAAAAAAAAGGGAAACAAACCCAACAAATATTTGCAGGGCTGATTTCATGCCCTCGCGTGCCTGGTTCCCTTAAGAACGCACCCTCGCTTGAGGGTTCTAATCCCGATGGCCTACCATTTGGCGCCGACTTGCAAACGCAACATGAAGGAAACAGGATTAAAAAGGCAAGCTACCCTTCCTATGTCCTCCAGTAGAGAGGTTAGAATAAGGGTGCCCTTTTTTCTGTAGTCTATTTTAGTAGGGGAACCCTCCCCTAAAGGGTACAAGGGCACTGGGGGACCTAGCTTCCACTCCTGTCCCACAGGGTCAAGTTCACAGGAAAGTGGTCTTGGACCTCAGGTTCCCTTGACAAATGCCGGGTTCTCAAAATCGACCAACCAGAATGAGTCCAGGAAAAGGAAATCACAAAGGGTGTCTGCTAAAATTAAGCCCAGGAAGGGGTTGGTCCCAATTTCATTTCCCGAGTCTGCCGACAAGGGCCATACATGGAATTCCACTAGTTACCCCCCTCCCCCAATTGCATGTTCAGGGGGGATCCTTTGGCAAGTCAACAAACATTGTTGCTATGAGGTTACACCAAACATCGCTTTGTTTCATCTCATTTGCCGAAAATCAAAGCTTAACATTTGGGAATTTTGACTTAATATGGACAAAATCAGGCAAACCAAACAAATTAAAGAGTCGGCTTTGGGCAAGTGAGCTGGCCCAACTGTCAAGGGGTAGATTGGCAAAGCGAGAAAATGGAAATTCGGTTCGACTTTGAATCCAAAGGACGAGCGCCATTCATGCCTAAGGTTGATCCCGGATTGAGAGACCCCTATGTACTTCCATTTGTAGTTGAGTCTCTCGGAGAAAAACATAAAGAAGAAAAACAAGAGAAAATATGTCCAGTAGCAAAATTGATTCCCTTTAAAACCAACAAGGGAAAATCACAAACAAGATATTTCGACAAATTCCGCCGACAAATATCGATGGAAGGCTCAAGGATTGTGGGGGTCTTCCCTCCAAAAATGGTCTCAATCCGAATGGTGGGTTGCCAAGAATATGGCCACATTAAACATTTAAATCCCTTCTTTGCACAAGAAAACATACGTGCCCCTTTATGGACCCCGAATATGGATCTTTTTTTGCCCAGAAAGGGGCCCCTCATATTGACAGCCCACCATACTCTACAACCCTAGGTATGGTTGCACCCCCCTGTAAAAATTAGCAAAGAACCAAACAAACGAACAAACAAACGAACAAACAAACAAACCAAACAAACAAACAAACAAAACAAAAACACAAAACAACACAAACAAAAAGAGACAAACAAACAAACAAACAAACAAACCAAACAAACAAACAAACAAACAAACAACCAACCAAACAAACAAACAAACAAACAAACAAAACCAAACAAACCAAACAAAACAAAACGAGACACAAACACGCAGCAACAACAGTGAAGCCCACAACCAATATGCCAAACAAAACCCGTGAAGCCACGCGTGACGCATCCCAGCCCCGCGCCTCCTCCGCCAGCTTCGCGAAACGAAGCTCGATGTGCTGCTCCAATAAATCCAGGCGCACCGCTAGGGTCTGGCAAACCAAATGGCCACTTTAGGGCAGGGCTGTGGGAAAGGGAGTCTACTACTGCGATACAACAAAAAGAGCTTCCCAAAGACAAACCCCCAAGGGGGAGATTCCCTTGTATCACAGAAGTGGGGAGAAACCCCTTGATCCCACAACTCTGAACCAAAGAGTAGCCCTTTTGGGGGGTCTCCTTCGGCTGGCGGTTTCTTTGTTTCTCTGTTTTGCACTGTGCTGTTTTGTTGTGTCTTATGTTGGTCTTATGTTGTGATAGGCGTTGTTTTCTGTTGTTTTGTCTTGTGTTTGCTTGTTTCTTTGTCTGTCTGTTTTCTGTCCGTTCAACTACACAAAGAACAACAGTAGAAAAGCTGCCTAGGGCGCCCAACAAGCTGCAATTTGGGCAAAAAGCGTTGGTTTCAATGCGGGGACCAGAAGAAACCCCCCCCAAAAAAACGCGCGTTGAAACTCCCTTCCCCCTCCTCCAAAAACTCGCTTGTGCCAGGATGATTTGGAGAAACCTAATTTTCCATGGCAAATAACTCGTTTTCAGTCAGAGGTTGAAGAAGTCATGTGTATATGAAGCGTGCATATTAAGCAAACGCAAACTTTGGATGTTCGGCCAACTTCGCAAGTGGTGATCGCCACTTGGGGTTTTTCACCCCCTGCGTAACAAGGTTAACCCCACATTCACGGGGGACGTGTATCAGTAGGTTGGAACCGGACCGCTACTAACAATTTATTAACTTGGCGAATCGAACGACCCAGGTGCAACTGACTTGATTCTAAAACCGGCCCCTACCTATTCCAGTTGGTTTTAGGGGACCACCCCCGTATGTTGAAGGCATCTCTTCCCTTGCCGTGCCCAAATCGTACAAAATGGTTGAATCGAAACTCCATGCCGCGCCTCCCTCGGCTCGAAGGGCGGCGGCCTCTAACGAGTGCCCGAGACCCAAATTCGTTGGTCCCTCACTTCCAATGAGTTGATGGGGCCAAACAAAAGCTCGCAAACTGTTTGTTTACCGCTAAAACTGTCCAAACCGAGAAAGTGACTAAAGTCCATGAACTTAGGAAGTGAGGGAAACCCCGTGAAGGATTTAACGCTTGCCGAACCACGCTTCAAAGGTCGGAGGTCGTGTTAATGTGTGTTGTTGTGCGTTGGTCTCCCTTTGTATGGGGTTTAACGGGAAACCAAAAGGAAAACCAACATGCCCCAAAACACACACAGACACACAGACACACAGACACACAGACACACAGACACACAGACACACAGACACACAGACACACAGTTTCACGCCTACCAATGGTTATAAAATAGGTTTATATACAGGCCGTACCAAAAGACCAGTGGATGTAGAACACCAACTAGCTTTTGACCGTTTTGGAAATCGGCTTTGAAAGCTGCACGAGTGGGTTTAAGTCTAGCTCTGGGCAATCCAAAACGGGAAAGCCTTCAGACCCACGAAAAGTGAGTGCCTTGGCCAAAAAAAAGCTCCCGAACTTTTTGTATGCCACTACCGCGGTCACTGGATCTCCCCTTCAAAAGATGCAATTTACTGGTGGTGTCCCTTGAAACTGCCACTTTTTGGAGGTTCCAACACGAGAAACTGAGGACACCCTGCATTAAAATTGCCTAAACCCGAAAGGTGGCTAGAGTCCGAAACGGAGCTGGTTTCAAGCAAACCACAAAAAGTCGTGCCCTTTTGGCTTCCAGAAATTAAAAAAACTAAGCACCTGCATGGGCTAGAGTTCTTGATGGTTCTTGGCAAGGCCGAAGACTTGATTGTAGAAAGTTGGCAAACCACACATTGCCGTGAAGGCGCATCATGGGGAACCATGAAATGAATTGCCTGTTGGTTCCCGTTAAACCCATCCAAACCGGCCACCCTCAAAACAAGCCACCCATTGAGACCAAACAAAACAGTGGGAGGAAGCATAAGGTCACCTCCAAATACCTCTATATTCTCTCCAAGCCCCAAAGCAACATATGGGTTTGTCTGTTTTCATAGGATCCCTCCCCTAACATGTGGGTGTTTTGTTCGGTTTCTTTTAATTAAAAAGAAGAAAACAAAACGCACAACAAGGCACCCGCAAAAAAAAGACACCCCATAATTTTACAATGAGGACAAGTTGTCTGCTCTGCTACTCTACGTGTGGCAGGCTGGCAGTCAGCTGTTGCAAAAGCGGGTTGGTTTCGCCTGTACGAGGATCGACTGGCTCTCTTCGACTGCGGTCGCTGATTCGACAGAGCGCATTGGATCTAGCGATCTTTTCCGTTGTCCAAACATCTGAGCCTGGTCAAGTGCTGGTCGCTCAATGCTCAGTTTTCTGGGCCGCCCTCAGATCCCCCTCTAAAAGTTTAACTTTTAGTGGGGCAAATGGAAACTACCACTAAACACGAAAAAGCTAAAAAGCCGAGGAACCGGATGGCTGGGCTTGCCGCCACCTGGACCCAGACGAAGCCCCCCGGGGCACAACCCCTGGCTGAGCACGCGGCTCGCATCTATCCTTCGAGAAGCTGAAGTCCGGCCTCGGAAACTGCGCGGATCTTTATAATGTTGACCCAGGATTAATAAACCCGTCCCATTAGAAGGGGGGGTGTGTTCCCTCCAAAAGTGGTCTGAATCCAACCACTAAAAGGGGACACCCCCGATCAAAATCAACCAGGGGTTCTACTTAGACCGGGGTTAACATTAGCGGCGAAGACTCCCAGGCTTTCGATCACGGTCTCCCTTGAAAAGCCGCTCCAGTGGCCACTGGGTGTCGTCCCAATGACCTCGCCCCAAGGAAACGCATCATTTTGGTGCCACAGAGCCACAAGGTCCGCCAAGGCCCGGAGTCCCAAAAAAACATGGCGAGAAGTGGAACAATACAAGATCGAAGCGTCGGAAGTGGGCACTGGAAGGGGCCGAGGTCTGTTTTTGCTTGATGAAGCATATTTATCAGGCCACATCTCAAAAATCCAGGCTGGTCGCCCAACATGTCTTGACACCATTGCCTCACCCAAAACAAACAAGCTGCCCTTCTCAATCACCAAGTTGCTTGTTAGTTTGTCAGTGTTGGTAAATTCCGCAGAGAAAAAGAGACAAGCTTCCCAGGTTGCCTGAACAAAACAATTCGGCGTTTTCCGATTGGCAAAAAAAGATGGGCTTCACAGGTTGGCGTGCAAAGGGACCCCTCCCTACCCTCTACTCCGGAATACTTGATTGTTCATGATGTATTTTGGCAAACCTAATTCTCGATGGCAAATACCTCTTTTATAGTGAGGGATTGGCATATACCCCAGAAATTCGGAGATTATAGTGGAAAATGAGCAGCGTCCGAGGCTTTTTGGTTAAACCAATGCGCAAAGGCTTGCTTTGGCTTTCCTACAACCTTAAACTAACAGAGGTGCAGGTCAAACAATCAGCATGCCAGATTGTATCTGAAATTGTATGCGACCCTGTGTGCCAACCGGGCGTGATAGGCTATAGTAGAACCACTCGCCCTTGACCTTTCAACAGGCATGGAAACGATTTGTCCTTGCGCGCTCTATGGATTTGTCTCAGAATAGGAGGTCTTAACGAATCCCTTTAAAGCCACCCATAAAGGGTCCTCCTCAAAAAAAGTCGAGCCACGCATATGCATCTCCTTTCGCACCTATTCGGGTGCCAAACGCAGGGCTCAGCTGGCTCTCGCAAACCTGGCAAAGGGAAGTCCTCGCCCATCTTCAGGGACCCCTCAACGACACCAAGGGTTAGGGTTCAAATTGCCCCCATTAAAAGAATGGCCCAAGGTTTTGTTCTGCTCGGAGTCAACATGACTTTGGACACGGATAATTACACCATAACCCTAAGGTTCAACTCCAATTGAAAGGATGTTGACCCCATTTATATAGATTCTAATAGATGATGACAATCACTGACCGCTAAACAAAGCTGGAAATGAACCCCCATTGTTTTGATGCTGGCTTAAACCCAGAATATGGGTCTGTCCTTTTTTTTAGTGGGTGGGGGGGGGGGGTACCATTTGTTTAGTGTTTTTTTGTTTTAAGGGACAACCATCGTTATATGGGATGCGGCAGTTGATGACACGAAGGTAACCCCCCCACCCCCACGTTCAAGGTCTTTGGCAAGACCTCCACGGAGATAAGTCTCTACTCTTAATCTTGCAAAACATTGTTGTCTTCAAAAGACGCATTACAAGTAACCACTCAAATGGTCTGGGAGTAGGCTAAGTGGCTGGTAACCCCCCCCGAGTTGACCACTCGGTGAAACAGTGTAACTATGGTTTCTGACCACTGTGCAACCCCCCGACCATCTAAGTGGCTGGTGGCGAGCCCTAGCGATTCGCAAGCTTGTCGGGCAAGCCCAATTGAACCGCGGCATTAAAATTGTATTCCCAAACCAATGTACAGGGCTGTCCTCAGATTCCCTGCTAAAAGTTTAACTTTCCGTGCGTTAAATGGAAATCCAACTGCTAAACCAACTAAAAGCAACTAACAACCCAAGCTGAACCGGACGATTGGCTGGGAACCACCAATTGTAAAGAACAAAAAACGCGGAATCCCGCACCTAATTTTCTGGTTGGGACTGGCCCCCAAGCTTCACTTACCCAAATCAGCTTTGATTATGGCTCAGGTGCCTTAAGCACGGTTTTCCCGTGCCGGTGCTCAACTTTGTCAAGCTGAACGCGAGACCAAATTCCCGCCTCAAATACCCTTTGGGAGTATATGTTATGCAAAACCTGACGTTCTATGTAAATGCCTCCTCTCAGAACAAAGAAACAAAAAACACCCCACAACACTAACAATGAAAGGCTTAACTTGCCGGAAAATCTACAGGAAGTTGCCCCAAACACCCTAATTCAGCTGTTTTCCTGTAGAATTTCCTGTAACCCAACCCTTCGAAACAACCGTCGAGAGGGCGCGCGCATCGACACCGACCCCCATCGAGCATCGCCTGGAGCTCAGGCTGATCACCTGGCCGACGATCATGGGGGCTCGGCTGGGAGGGGAGGGGATTGGACATTTAGCAGGGGGGGGACATTCAGGCCTTATTTTAGCAGGGGGGGACATTCAGGCCTTATGTTAGCAGGGGAGGGGGACATTCACGCCTTATTTTAGCAGGGGAGGGACATTCAGGGCTTATTTTAGCAGGGGAGAGGGACATTCAGGCCTTATTTTAGCAGGGGAGGGGGACATTCAGGCAGGGGAGGGGGGGACATTCAGGCCTTATTTTAGCAGGGATATTTAGGCCTTATTTTAGCAGGGGACGGGGATAGTCAGGCCTTATTCTAGCAGGGGACGGGGATAGTCAGGCCTTATTTTAGCAGGGGACGGGGATAGTCAGGCCTTATTTTAGCAGGGGACGGGGATAGCCAGGCCTTATTTTAGCAGGGGGGACATTCAGGCCTTCCGGCCTTATTTTAGGGCTTATTTGGGCTCCCCCTCCCCTCCCTCCACTAGTATCTCCACCTTCCCAGTGATCTTGATTTCCATGACTTCGTGCACGTTCAATGTCTGTCATAAGTGGCTGGTTCACATGACCAGTGTATCCGGTTGATTTTGAGAGATGGGGGCGTCCTTTTGTGGTGGGGGCTCATAACTGGAGGGCAAGGGAGCACACGCTATCAACATAGGACGGGATATGTCTTCCACAGCAACATTACGCTGGTTGGGTTGGTGTTAAAGGGAAACCACAAAGAACCAGAAGCCCAAACAGTGTGGGGACTGTTCCATTTTTAGGATGTTCCCATATGCGCATCTTCGCTTGGAAGACAAAAACACTTTCCGTTTGGAAGGGGGGCAACTGTGTACTTCTGTGTTGTGTCCGTCCAGCAGCAGGAACAATGATGCATAGTGAATGCCCTCAATATACCGCATCGCACAAATGCCTGCCACTCAAAAGGCAACCAAACCCAAAAAGTAGCAAGCTCCAACCCACTAAAAAGGCAACCAAGCCCAAAAAGTGACAAGTCCAAACCCACTAAAAAGGCAACCAAACCCAAAAAGTAGCAAGTCCAAACGGGAACTCAGGAAGCGAGTCTCTCCGCACTTCCGCCCACCTCCAGCGCTGTCCGCCTGAACCGCACTGGAAGAAAACAACCGAATCGGGAGTGGGGTCCAGTGCAACGGACGCAAGCAGAATCACTCATTTGCTGGCAACCCCAAAACACAAATACTTTAAAGAAGGAGGTTGCAAAAGACGGTTCCCCTACCGTTGGGTGGAAGACGGCGAATTATTGATTTATTGTTTGGGCTCTGACACCCTGTTTATCAGAAAGGCAATTGTGCGATCTACGTTCATCCTGTGAATTGGGCGGACTTTGTTGGGTGGCCCCAGAAAACCTGCTTGGTTCAAGTGTTCAAAATATCCCGTGTGGATTGATGGTTAGCCCGGTGGTTTGGCGGAGGGGTAAACCCCAGTTGCCCTCCAAAAGAACCAGGGGAAAGTCCACTCTCAACCAATAGGAGACTGCAACTGAATCACAATCAAGACCTGGTACTGAAGGAGTCCCAAACATCTGTAAAGGAACAGCTGGATTCTGCCTGACACCAGCACTGCAAGGGACAACAGTCAAGCAAGTCATTACAACCGCTCTCGCCTCCATTACCACCGGCAAAAGTGTGGCTTTCACACACGCTCGCGTCAGTCGGCGGATGGTTTCTTCTGGACCATCGTGGCTAAAAATGCTTCGTTGATCGGTGTCTATGCGAATGAGACCTGAAGCAGCTGAGTCAAGCCAAGCACTCTTGCTCAAACAAAACAGCTGGTGCGTCATAGGGGGTCTCTGGAAAAGAACACATCACTATCTCCTTTTTGGCTTGGCGTTTTTGACACGAATGCTGTGGTGCCTCCAATGATCCAAGCTGGCGCATTGCTTGGCACTTTGACTGCCAAATGGTTTCAAGCTTGAGCAACAGCGCGGACAGCGAAACTCGTGGTGCCCAATTTGCAAAATGACAGCTGCTTGGATGTCGTTCGAGGGGGATAATATTTCGTACTATCCCCTGGTTACAAAGGATAGGGTTGACTTGGGGGTTACATTGCTGGAGATGTTTTGAGCACTTAGCCAACTCCCAGACCATCTACCATAGTCATCCGAAATCTCTCTCTCTCTCCCTCTCTCTTCAAGGCAAGGATGGTCCCAAGGTCAGGGACCTCATTGGTGGATGGTTTGCCAGCGAGACACCTTGAAAGCTCATGGGCAGGGGTCCCCGCAGCAAGATGCCTGGTTTCTGTGGTACATGGAACCAGCCCCTTACCTCTACGGGTGGTCATGTTCTGTTGACCCCTAAGATGGTCATCCCAAGAGTCTCATAAGTCCAGATCCTCGGTGGTGGAACCGTTTTCTGGGTTCCGCGATTCCTCCTATGCCACGGCACTATTAAACCTATAGGTTATAGGCCTAAGATCGGAACCTGCCCCCTAAATTTCAACGGTCTCATTTGGCTTTCCCTTTCAATCAGGGCTCCGAAGTCCAGTTTGGTTTCAAACTTCAAACACATAAGTTCCCCCCTTTACTCATGAGCGGAACCCTCACCATGGCTTCATTTCAAGGATCCCTCGGAATCCCCTTACGTTCGACGTACGCGTGTCGACCGCGGGGGGGTTTGCAGCACCTCCAGCGCCTCAGTGCCCGCCAACGCGCGATGGGGTCGCCAAAAGGAGAACGTAGGCTCACTTGCCCTACTATGTTTCTTTTCTTTAAAAAGAGGCTAACCTTTTGGGACCTCTATATACTAACAATAGAGACATTAAAGAAGAAGCTGAGTGAAAAGCCTGAAAAGCGACCGTGTGTAGAATGCCCCCTTGCACCGAAACCGTCAAGCGTTGGTCTCAGCTTCCCGCCGCACGGGCAGAAATTATCCTCCGCATCGAACACAAAGGTTAATCAAGCTTCCACCATCCACCTTTTACTCAAAGGTTGTACCACCAGACCCCTGGAACATATCAGCTGCAAATATGGCTTTGTCATCTTTCTTTTGGCTTTGGTCTGGGACCCGGTCAGGGCCAGGGTCCATAGCAACCATTTCTCTGGCGCCCGGCGCTACACTGCAACTCCAGCTGCGACCTTTGCGCCTGCGCTTCAATCGGTAGCCACAGCTAGACTTGGTTGACGTCGGAAGGGGAGCAGAAATTTAAATTTTAGCAGTTAAGTGGGACTTCAACCACTAAACCACAATAAGCAAAAATGTACAATGTTTCACAACAACAACCATGTAGACGCTCAACGGACCGATTCTTCGGGTGCTAAAAGGGGCCTCAAATTCCCTTATCATGAGTCAACGGGTTGTGTAACACCATTCTGTTCAACCAGGGTTCCGTTCAAAAACCGATCGCTGTTTTCCGGTGTTTCATGGTTTCCTGAAAAGAAGGCTCCCTGCAAAAGGCAAATGGGGAAGCTGTCCCTATATTATTTTTTTCGGGTAGAATGGGGTATCATGTCAGCCCCTGCCTAAATGAGGTATCCTTGCATGACAAACTTGTTTAATGGTATATGTCAAAGCAGCTTCTTATTTAGGGTTCAAAGTCATCTGCTTTTCAACTGGTTTCACAAACCAGTGCAAGTCTCTGTAAAGTATGTGTTGCAAAAACCTGGCTTTGCATGCCTTTGTACCCCATCCCCCAAAATTATCTTTGCCTTGCTGTCCTTTAGGGTATACTGACCTCTGTCTAAAAAACGGTGCCACGGGATCCGTTTTGTCAAACTACTGTGGGTGAACAGAATCCGGTCGCGCTACTTTGAAACCATGGTTGAAACCATTTAATTGTTGGTATTTACAGGGGCGTTTAATCCGAAATCAAGGTTTCAACCCGTCTGGATGCAGACACCCGCTTGAATACCCCAAAGCAAGAACCAAACTCTGACCGAGACTCTCGGGCTTTCCGGGGACCCCTGGTATTTGCATTTCAGACAGAGCCAGGCTAATAGAGTTTAAACGATTGTATTAGCGACGACCAAAATCATCCGCTATCAACTCTTGAGCTCGTGAGTCATGGTTAAAACCAATCGGTGTGAAAATGGTCTACCCAGAACCATTTTAAATGAATTGACAAGGCGGTCACATCCATTCTATGGCGGGGGCTGTCCCTTGCTAACCTTCATCTACGCGTTTTTTTTTTTTTTTTTTTTTTTTTTTTTAAAAAAATATTGCGGCTCACTTCAATTAACCCTGTCACAGCATGCTGGTTTCCCGTGCGCAACTGGCGGGTCCATTTACCCCACCTATGAAACACAAGCTGATGTTTGCTGGTCAAAAAAAACACATGACGTGCATCGGCGGCAGGATGAACAGTTCAGCGCCCAATGCCAAGCTCTCCAACTCACAAAAGGGCAAACAAAAAAAACTTACGCAAAAAGCTCGCTTCAGTCTGGCGATAAAACCTGGGAGCAACAAGAATTGAAGCACAAACTACATCAGTACCGGTCAATCCTCCTCACTTGCATGTTGTAAGGGGGAGAGTGAATTACTAGGATGTCTAGCCTTCACAATCATCCCGTAACACGGGAATGCCATTCTTTGATTCACCGAGTGACCCGGGGTTCCCTGTAACTCACTTCCTGTGAGTGGATTGGCCAAAACAATTCCAAAGTTTTTCAGAAAGAATGGCAACCAGATCCCAGCGAATGAGTTATGTAACCCAAAAAGTGATCCGGGGATCCCTGCATGCAACCCTTTTCTACTTTGGTCCGCCAAGTCAGCAAGTGGTTAGCCACTTGGGGCATAACCCCCCTAATAACGAGAATAAAACCCCCCATTCACGTTCTAACTGACCGGCTACCAACAACTTGCTAACCTCAGTTGTTCAGTGACACTGAAAAAAAGAAGAAGAACTGGAACCCTTTTTGGGGGCTTGGACCATTTTAGTCGTTGGCAGCCACCAATAAAAAAAAATGGAAAAAGACAAATAATTGGAGCCACTGAACCACTGGGTAACTGGGCGGTTCCCGCACACAGTATCTGAAACCAGCGGATTCCGGGTCCGTTTTGCCGCAGAGGCCTCGAGCTGCGCGATCTCTGTGCGGCTGCGCTCCTGAAACGAGAAACCAGAACTAGGTCCTCCAGTAGAGAGGTTGAATAAGGCTACCTTTTTGTGTAGTCGATTTTAGTCAGAAAAAAACCCTCGCCAAAAAAAGTTGGTAAAAAAATGGCACTAGTGAGGGACCTAGCTTTGGCTCAACACTTTGGATCAAACCGACGTGAGGATGGATGGCAGAATTCGATTCCTTCCCGTGAGTATGTGCAGGAACTCTGGGATCTAGCTGCACTCAGCTGTAACTATCCAGTATGTGCAGGACGCATGAAGAACCAATTTCAAGGTTGGGCAGTCCCTGTTCCATTTCCCCAGCTTTTGTTAACCACGGGCACCGCACAAAAAACAACAACAAGGGACACGAGTTTGGTTAAATATAAGACTCTGGCGGCTTTCCCGTGATCCCTCCGCACAGGGAGAACCAGTCAGAAGAAAGAGGACAAACCTTGCGGGTCCAAAGCGTCAAACTCAGGTCGTTATGCTCCATTGGGAAAATCGGGGAGGTCCGCTGGCAAGACCTTCGAGGGTCCTTCGACCCAACGTGCTTGCTCTCTGTTCCTAGAAAACAGCATGAAAATACATCCTCCTTCCTACCCGCTTTCTGCCTATTTTCCAACTTGCGACCTAAGGCCATTGGCCGGAATCACGCCCTCAATCGAGTGTTGGACAAGCAAGTCACAAAACAGCTTGCCTACCACCAAAAAATCGTCCACTTGCAAAAGTGACTCAAGTCCATGTCAGGTATTGAGTTCCTTTGAAGGAAGCCGGTTTACTTCGACCGGCTCGCGAGAATCCGTTCCTCAAAAATTATTCACACCATAGCCCGGTCAAGCGATGAATTAGGGCAACCCAGGTCACTACCTTGGAAGTCCCCCGTGAATGTGGGGCTAACCTTGTAACAAACGGAGCTAGAACCCAAGCGGCCACCTGGACCCTCAAACGTCCCTTAAACACAGGTGATTGCCCCAAATTATGGGATGCATTCCATTTTCATGGGTAGTTTGAGTCTGCAGGCAAACACTCAACTGACTAGGCGCATCGAACATCCCAGCAAGGGAGCCTTGCCGATTCGTCCATTGTTTCAGCTTCATTCCAATGGTTTGGAGTCCTGGCTTGGAGGTTGGTGGTTTCTCCTACAAGAACCAGTTCTTATCCCGAAACCACCAACCGGAAGACGAACAAGCACTACTTGAATGCGGTGGAAGAGAGGATAACCTGGCTGGTACACGGCAACCTCCAAATCGTTTTCTAGGTTGCTCGCTGTTTTGTGGTAAAATATATACCCCCTGCTCATGTGCGATCTGCACAACCTCGATTCGCCAAGTTATGAAGTGCTAATCGCCGCTTGGCGAATTTCATCCCCTTTTCACAAGTCGAACCCCACATTCACGGGGAAGTTGCAGGTGGGGTATAACCCAACAATTGCCAACCTTTCCAACCGTTGGTACGGGCTTACAAGAAGCCTTTTTGTTGCAGCACCGTACTAAAAGTGAACAGACCCCCCCCAAAAGAAAAGAAAGAAAAAAACACAAGTATATAAACCACAAAAAAATGATCCAACAACTCAGTGGA